CATCTCTCTCTCTCTCGGATTATCTCAAAATTTCTCTCTGCAAGTCCTAGTGCTCATCGCTCTTCAAAGCACACAACATCATATATTCATATGTATTTGTGAACAGTAGTGCTAAGACTGAGTTTGACCAGTACTACAATATCTAAAGGTGTTCATAAATAAAGAAATTATATGTATTTTACCGTAAGTTTGATTAGCAACTACAATTTTATCCCTTTCTCTTTTGCACCATAAGCAAGTACTTTGTTGCTCACTCAGCACCAATAACCACCAACGTCTTACTGTAACCGTGAAGAAAAAGAGGAATGTACACTGTTTGAATCAACTGAGCCTTAAAAAAAAACAAAGAGCTAAACATAAGTAAAACCAATATTTATCCATTTGAGAAAAATCATATTAACGATATGAACATAGAACTTACTTATTACCAAAAAAAAACATAGACTTAACATAAATATAATAGAGAATATTATTAGAATGTATAAGAAAAGTTGGGTTATTACTAGAGTGTGTAACATTTTTTTTAAAATGACTAATATTTGGACACCCCTAATAAATGACAATAAGGGCTTTAGTTTTTTTTATTTATTTTGTAATTGAAATTATTTTAATTTATAAATCCACATCCCTAATTAACAATACACATCACCAAAACCGAAATCAAACTGTCTCCTTTCTCTCGTTCTACATAGGGATTAAAAAAAAGAAACGAAGAACAGTAATCGTCTCCGAGAAGGAACTGCAAGGATACTCCCATTCTCAGAAATCATCTTCGAGATTGTGTTTATTTTTTCTTCCTCGAACTAACTCTTTGTCGTTGAACTGTGTCTTCTTTGATATCGTCTTCCCTGAAATCGTCGTATTAAATCGTCGTATTAAATCGTCCATTACGAAATCTTCTTCGCCGCATTCTTATATACGAGTTCGTCTTTTCCGGTAGGATGTCGCGATGTTATATATTGTGCTTTAGTTGAGTTTGTGGGTCAGTTATATATTAGAATTCATTTGAGGTATATATTTTGTTGCGACTGAGATAGGGTTATGTTGGGGATATGAGTTTGTTGAGGGTTTTGTTGCGTTTGAGTTAGGGTTTTGTTGCGACTGAGTTAGGGTTATGTTATGACTGAGTAATTGTTATGTTATGGCTGAGTCATCGATAGGTTGTGACTAAGTTAATGTTAAGTTGTGGCTGAGTTGTATGTTGTGGCTGAGTTATTGTTGTGAGTATGATTGGGTTATTTTTATCATGTTGGTGAGTTATTATCATGTTAGGGCTGTGTTTTTTTTATGTTATGGCTGATTTATTATTGGGTTATATGATCAGATGGCTGTTGTTGAAGTTAATTCACGGGATTACCCGCCAAGACTTGATCCTGAAGGGTATACAACTTTATATGTGTGAGTCGGGTTTTTTGGATCCTATACATATGAAATCAATTAGATATCTGAAAATTTTGGTTTGGATCTAAAGTTTTGTAAAACAAAAAATTATTAATAACTGATACTAAACTTCTTAACTCTCTAATTTTTTTATTTAGAGCTTCATATTACTAAAAATATACAAAATATTAACAAAAAATCGCAAACAAAAACGATATTACAAGTAGAAGATAAATTAAAATATAGAATCACAACACATAGAGTTATATAGTATTTGATATTCATGTTTTAGGCTGGATATGAATAAATTCTTATTAGGTCGGATCATTTATCTTTGGGTCTGGATCTATTCGAGTCGGGTTTATTTTTTTATGATTCTTGGATAAAGAAATTTTAGACACAATTAAATATGTAAATTTTTGGTTTAATTTCAGATTGGTTGATTTAAACTTTTCATGTCTGGATAAAATACCCATACTGATTCTTCTAATTTAGAAAACATATCTTTTAAACTAAAACTAGATTTTGACCCGCGCTTGAAAAGCGCGGAAATTTTTTATAATTAAAAATTTATATAATTGAGTTTTGTCTTAATTTAAAGAATATTTTGATATAAAATCAGTTCACCAAAATTTGTGGTGATGATTGTTTTTCATTAGTTTTTAGTTTCAGTTTTTTTATTTTTAGATTTTGGTTTTTGGTTTTTAGTTTTTAAGTTCTACTTTTCATTTTCAGTTTTTGGTTTGAGTTTTTAATTTTTAAACCCGTTGAGTTAGTTTGAACTAATATTACCAACAAACAAATCTCAAATAATCGAACATCTAATTTAAAACTGAAAAGATGATAACAAATTTTTTTTAAAAAAAATTGAAATAGTTTATTTTGTAAATAAACAAAGCCAAAAAATATAACATGTGTTTTCAGCTTTTGGTTTTGGATTTTAGTTTTTAGATTTGGTTTTTGGTTTTGCTTTACATTTTTTTTAATCAGTAAATTATTTAAGAAAAATAAAAAAATAAATTATTTAAAAGTTACCATTGAAATTTATCAAAAAAGTGATTGTTGTTTAAAATAAAAAAAAAATATATTAACATGTTTTAAAGTACATGATTTAAATAAATGATTAATAATAGATAATTTTGTTTTGTTAAAAATATTAAATATCTTTTGGGTCTGAAAATAATAATTGATTTTTTTTTTATCTTTTAAGGTCAAAAGTTTATTCAATGTTTTGGAGTTTTTTTCTTAATACGAAGCCCAAAAACCAAACTATATAATTGGTTCAAAAAACAAAACTAAGCTCAAGACTATATTCCATAAATAATCACTGGTTTAATTTAAGTATAACTGACGCACGGGTGTTTGTTCTTCATAATCATATATTTTAAACTTTTGAAATACGATAAATTTAATTATTTATCCCTCTTACGTTATAGATTCATATATTATTCATGACTGACATTGATATGTATTGTTCAATATGATTAGTGTTATTTATAAACTATGAGATTGTGTTTTTCTTTTATTGTATTTTAATTTATTTAGTTTATTTGGTAAAATAAATGATAAAATGTCAGAGATTTTTTATATAAAATTCAAAATTGTTATTGAAATTTTTAAATACAACTATATTATTTAGACAAAAAGTAATAATAATGAAACAAAATTAAAAAAAAATACTAAAAATGAAAAGATATTTAATTGAAGTTATTAGTTTAGATTATTTGGTTATGAATTTATAATTAAAATGGGCCAAAACTTAGCTACTATGTTCAAATTTTGTTTTCATTAGATTATATATGTATTAGACTTTGACTATATTTAATGGATTAAACCCATAAAATATTAAATACAGGTTTTGTTTTAAAAAAGAGTAAAACTACAGTATTTTAGTGGTATAAAATTGTATTTTTTGAGGAAAACTAAGGGATATCTCTTATTTGTTTGATCCGCGCATCCGCACAGATGTTTGTTTTTCATAATTATATGTTTTTTATTTTTAATAATACCATAAACGTATTTGTTTATGTTCTTCTATAACAAATTTTATTGAGTTTTGACATTAGTGTTTTTTGTTCAGTGTGTTTATCGTCCATTTATAAATATTATATTTTTATTGTGTTTTTATTTATTTTACTTGGTAAAAATACATATTATAGTAAAATATTAGAGTTTTAAGTAAATTTGTGTATTTTATTAAATTATACTATGAATATTGGTATTTAAAGTTGCATATAAAGTTCAAAGTTTATACTGAGATTTTTAAAAACAAAACATTGTTACCCCAATTGCATACGATGTTTTAGTAATATTATGCAATTATGGTTATTGTATCTGTCGAACATCAATTTTATTTAGATGGTTTAGTAATGCTATAGTTTAGTACTGGTTTATCTCTATTGTATCAATCGACATCAAATTTGTTTAGTGGTTTAGTCATGTACTGGTTTAGTAATTATTATATGGTTTAGTATCAATCAACATCAAATTTATTTAGTGGTTTAGTCATGTATTGGTTTAGTAATTATTATATGGTTTAGTAAGAACAACAAACAGGCGTGTTTTATGTTAGACAGTTAAATAATTAACAGCAAACGATAGAGTATTATTCTAGTGGTATGGGATGGTAATTTTTGAGGAAACATAAGGTTTAAGTACTATTTGTACTTCCCTTTTAATAGTATAGATGGAAATCACAAAAAAAAAAACACAGAGAAAATTAACATAAAAAACTAAAAAGTAATATTACCATAAATATTCACAAAAGAATATCGGTAGAGTTTTTGTCGGCATCAATATAAGTTAGTTAAAATATAAAATATAAAATATAAAAAATAAATAAGAAGTAAATATAGTAAATAAGATATGGAAAACCTTATTAAGTATCTAAAAATTACATAGATTTTAAAAAAAAAATCATATAGTCATTTATTTTATATATATTTATCTACATATTAAATATTCTTTAACGTTCTAGAGAAATAATACTAGTTATATTTGCTGAGTAGTTAATTAATTTAATAATATTATATCATTATAAAATTAAATATATTAATACTTGTATCTTTTTTGAATTTCACACGGTTTTTCTTTGGTTGGTTAAATCCAATTTTTTACTTAAGCACAAAGCTACTAATACAAAATACATGTATTATCAATAAAGAAATATAACTGCATACACGATACTTTTGTAATACATGTATTTTCTTTAAAATAATTGTACCGAATTTGTTAAAATGTTTTTTTTTAACAAAACATGGTTCGTTATTTTCATAAAATGAGATCTCCTGTGATATCGGATATCTTTCATAGTTAATTTGAAAGTACACAAAAAAAATATCTTAACAAAAATATATGAATTCAATATAAAATTTAACACATTAGAAAATTGACAAAATTCAAGATTTTCATAATTTTTCCTTTACTTTCGATAAAAAGTATATTTTAAACTAAAATGGAAATCACAAGAAAAACTAACGCAGAGAAAATTAACATAAAAAGGTCAAAAAAAAAGTAATATTACCACAAATATTCTGCTTTTGTCGGCATCAATAAAAATAAAAATAAAAAGTAACAGGTGAGTTATTAAGTTATGCTTCTTCTTTAACTTAACGGATCCAGTCAATTGAAGCGTCGACTCAAATCTAATATTAGCGAGGTGTACAGATTTTGAATTTACTTGATTGTCATAGGAACTGATAAACCTAAATTTCTATGGGAGAATCTTACACCACTTTTATGAGATACCCAGATACTCTTTGGTTCTTTCTTGGTTGGCGAAATTTGATTGTTTGGGTTGAAAGTATTGATCTTTTGTTTGTTTGTTTGTTTGTATGGTTGTGTTAAGTAACGATTTTTATTATGTGGAACAGAATGGGATTCTCAGTCGCTGATACTGCGTTGTGTAAGTGGCTCGCCAAGAAGTCCCAGAAGAATAAGATCAAAGGTTTTCAAAAAGCAATAGACAAGCTAAACGAGGTCTATTCTGTTTCATATGCCTGTTACAGTTACTTATTATGTCTGTGAAAGCTTATTATTATGCTCTTCTTACTTGGTTAGGCGCTTGATTGCATTGCACAAGACGAGAAAGAATGTTTGGAACTGGCTGACAAAACGCTTCAGTGGGCAAGCCAATTCCCGGAAGAATTCCAAGGGCGTATGTATTTTTGCCAATTATTATGACCGTAATGTTTGATATATATATATTTTGTCTGTTTAACTCTACTAGTTTTTCATGCTTCAGCAATTTTGGAAAGAAAGAAGCTATATGAACTACATGCTAAGGAGTCTGTGGTCATGCGGCCGACTGTTATTGCAGAAGTAAGGGGTTTTCCACTTTTCATATTTCAGTTTTTGATTATTACATTGGAAATAGGGCTGGGCAAAAAAAACCGAATCCGAAAATCCAAACCGAATCTGACCCGATAAAAAGGAATCCGAACCGATCCGAACCGATCCGAACCCGACATAAGTACCGAATGGATCTTGTTTTACGGTATTTCGGGTTATGGATATTACCCGAACCGAACCCGAACTTAAATGGATATCCGAAAGAACCCGAAACTTTAAAATTCCAAAAAAACTTGTATTATATCCAATCTAAATTTCTAATATGTTTCCAAAACAGATTAATATATTACTGAGTACCTACAATAATTAGTTATGATATAAATAATTAACTCAAATATTTAGTCTAATATATAGTGTTATTTGGTTAATATTAATGTTTATGATTGACATTACATTTGAAGTTAAGTTACGAATAAATTTGTTTTGAAGTTTATATAATGTTGTTTTTAAAAGTTTAAATAGCACTTCTTATGTTTATAGAATTGTTAG